TTCTTCTCTCAATTTTTAGCCTCACGCTGTCTACCGACATAGCTCACCCAATCTACCTACAGATCTGAGAAGGGAAATCCATGTCTAAGCGCTGGAGGAAGACCTTCTGCACTGCGGTCCAGACGTCCAGATGGTAATCATGCTATGAGTTAACCCCCAGTGAGGAATGGTAGGGGCGAAGGCCTCCAAGAGAACCCAGGACCCTGCGAAGGCCGACCAGGGGGTGCAAGCCAACTTATCTCCGGCAATTTGCCCCTTCTTTTTCGTTTTCTTTTTTTTATTTGGACCATTTCTTGATTTATGCGTGTCTTCATTGCGCATGTGCCACGCTAATCTTCATTCTCTGTATCGTTCCAATTTTAACGGATGTCCCAATGGACAGCAATTTGCTGTTTCTAGTGACCTGGATTCTTTTAAATGAATAAAGTTAACAATTGAAACAACTGGCCAATTTGTGTCTGGGTGTATGTCTGGGTGTGTGTAGACTTCCGGTGCAGTATGTTTGTGTGTGTGTAGACTTCCGGTGCAGTATGTGTGTGTGTGTGTGTGTGTGTGTGTGTGTGTGTGTGTGTGTGTGTGTGTGTGTGTGTGTGTGTGTGTGTGTTCGTGTGCGTTTGTGTGTTTGTGTCCACCTGCGGGTCGCAACATCCTTTCCCAGGGTATTGACCCAGTCTGCTGTTTGATCCACTGATAAAAAAAGTGAAAGAACTTCAAAGAAGCGGCCTTGGCTTGCGATCTTCGGGGATCAACAGCAAAACATGCACACGCCACAGAAACAACGAACAAAAAAGGGGAAAAAAGGGAGAAAGTAGCAGCTTTTGGCGAACGATGTCTAAACTAACAAGGAAGAGAGGAATACGCACCACCGGCACATGTGGCTGAGTGGTACACGCATGCAACTATCGATGAAATGATCATGAATTTGAATCCTCCGCCATGCGATGCGATGGATGCAATAATATCAACAATATGAGGGGCTTAGGGTGCAGCTAGGCTGCGCTAGCCCCATTATATGTATATATATATATAAAAACAGATGAACACACAGAACTAGCTTGCTTCAGGTGGATCTGTTTGTCGTATTGGAGTAGGGTAGTCGCGTCGTGGATGCATGGATTTTCTCCTCTCTTCAATCGAAGAGGTGAGGGTGCTTGCATCGCGGATTGGAAGATCCTCTCCTCTCTCTTTTTCTATAATGAACACTGTTCAACACACACATCACTTCCTAGGCGACATCAGTCAACCGACACAAGAGGTCGTAACAACCTCGATGTCTCCTCGTGTCTCTTTTTTCTTAAGGTCACATCACTCGGTAAGTTGGATGAAAGAATTTGTTATTATAAACTTGTAGTCCCACCGACTGGTGGAGAAGTCTGTTAATATCCCCAGGTCAATGGTATCTGTCTGATGAAATAGGCGATTATAGCCCCGTCTTAGAGATGAAACAGTTGGTGATACCCAGTCCCCGTATCCCATTATATATTGATAAAGGTTAAGAGGCTGTTATCGCCTGCTCGTGATGAAGCAGTGTGTTACACCACACTCACCCCCCCGTCGCAGCCCCCCCGGCCCCCTCTTAGCTTGATGAAACAGGCTCTTATGGCCCCTCTAACTGATGAAACAGTCTGTTATACCATCCTCCCTTATGCTGATAAACAGGCTATTATTATAGGCCCTCTTACCAATGAAAGAGTCTGTTAGCCCGCTTACAAATGAAACAGTCAGTAATAACCATCCTCCCTTCCCTTGTACTGATAAAAACAAAGTTCATAAACCAGGCTTTTATAGCCCGCAAAAGTTCTGTTAGAAGAGGTGCTGGAGCAGAATTGAGGGATTAGGACTCAGATGGTTGGAGCATAGAAGAATGAGTGGAACTAAGATGGGAGGCCTACAGAGTGGAGGCCCAGCCCTGTGAACTGGTTTTTGGCCCCCCTGCGGGAGTCGGGAGTCCATGGCTGGACCCCCATAGTGTGTGTCTGGGTACAGCCAGGATGTTTCCCGGCCATTATGGGAGGTCCTGGTGCGATGGACAAGTAATGGTTCACAGGACTGCCCTGCTAGCCCCCCCTTGCGAAGCGTCTCGTGCGGCAGTAGTAGGCTGGTCTTGCTTCATCCGTATTATCTTCTCCCCTTCGTTTTGAACGCTTGCTTGCCTGTGACAAGCAACCGGGCTGCTGCCCCCCAGAATAGATGGGGCTTTATTTAAAGGTGGGGGGGGGGGGGGAAGCCAACCATTCCCGAGCGACGATCCTGGAGCCCAAAGGTAAAATTTCTCTCTCAAGCATGCTCAGGGGTGCGTACAAGATAGTCTGCTGGGATTGAAAGGTTGGTGTCCATAAAGTCTACCGCTTCTCTCTCTCTGTCTCCATCTATCAATCTATTCAAATCTAAAATTCTAAATCTATCTGACAAATCTTCTTTTTTTTTTTGGAATAAGCTCCAATCTAATCATCTATCTAAGCAATCTAATCTATGTATCTATCTATCTATCTACCTATCT